AAACAGAAATCCTCCAAAGAATTTTTACGTAGAGATAGGACAGTAGCTCTCAACCTTCCTAATGCTGTGCCCCTGAATTTAATGTTGTGGTGACTGGCCCCCAACCATGAATTATTTTTGTTGCTACTTCATAACTGTATTTTTGCTAGTTATGAATCATAATGTAAATATTATTGGAGATATCTAGTTGCCAAAGGGGTCATCCTTGCTCCAGCCTACTCGTGTTCAGGCATCATGGCATCTCCGAGATAGGCTAAATCCTTTTTGATAGTGGTGTAGGATGTTGCATTTTGTGTTGCCGTCTGAAGGTAATGTGCTGATTGTGTCAACTCCTTCAGACAAACCTGGTGCTTCTATAATCCATCCCTCCTGATTTTTGATCCTCTAGTTGGTTTTGTTTACTTGACATTACTTCTTTCTCTTATTTTAGTTCATTTCTAGTCTCATTGAGGTTTCCTTTTTTGTTTAGTTTTTGTCCTTTAGTGAGATACCATGTGTTTGTTTTATTCTAAAAGAAGTGAAATAAGAATTTGCCAAGTAACATTATACATTGAAAATATGTAGGCGTATCGGATTAACTGTGTTATAATTGCTATAACAGTCTGTGGCTTAAATTATTTTATAGTGTTAGAGAAGTAATTTGTAATATAAAGATTTTAGAGGGATGTAATGATGAAGGTAACTATTACCTGTGATATTTATTGGTCTCTTTTTTTTTTTTTTTTTTTTTTTTGGCATGACTATATTGACTGTTTAATCCATATGTTTATCCTACTCTCCTAATTATTTTAGATCTTTTTTTTTATGGGTATGAGTATTTTCTTGCCTGATGTATGTATACCATGTGCATGCTTGGTACCACAGAGGTCAGAAGAGGGTGTCAGATCCCCTAGAACTACGGCCATGCAGGTGCTAGGAACTAACCCTGTGTCCTCTTGCAAGAGCAGCCAATGCTCGTAACCACTGAACCATCTCTCCAGTCCATCTTTATCATGTTTTTAAAAACTACTTCTCTGGGGGCTGGAAGGTTGGGTTGGCAGTTAAGAGCCCTTGTTGCTCTCGCAGAGACCACGGTTCATCCACACAGCAGCTCACAACCAAGTCTAACTGCACTCCCAAGGAAATCTAACATCCTCTCCTGACCTCTTGGGGCACCTGGCATGCATGTGGTCACATGGGCAAAACATCCACATACATAAAATTAATCTAAAAATTATTTTCATCCTTTTTTGTTTGGCTGGTTTGGTTGTTTTGTTGTGTTTTTTGAGACTAATAGCCCAGACTGGCCTCAAATTTTCAGTAATCCTCCTGCCTCAACCTCCCAACTGCTAAGATTACAAGTGTGTACCACCATGGATAGCTAAGAATAATAGTCCTTTCAATTGACTGTGTATTTTCATATATTCTTGGTAAGTTAAAATATTGGCATTTCCTTCTAAACAGTGAGAGCCCATATGTGTTTTGTGTACTGCCCGTGTGAGGGGGAGGGCGGTGTTCAACCATGTCCATTTTTCAGTTCCTACAATTCCTTTGCCTTACTGGAGGTATAGGCTTTCTTGAATGTTTTGGCTATGTTCTCTCTCTTTAGGTAGAAATAAGATAAACAGGAAATGAGTAACTGTTTCTGTCTGTATAATAATAAAAGAGAAATTTAAATTTCTAGATGAACTTTATAAAGCTTAAGTTGATCTTGTAGGTGGCCTGCTAAAATGCAGTTTCATTTTATAACTGCATGCCTTGGCTCCATGCCCGACCTACATTAACAGTAGACCCCACTCAAGGACATAACACCTCCCTCAAAAACAACCCCTCTAAAACATCACTAATAAGTTACCCAGCAGTGTTCACATTGGACAGTAATAACCTGGCAGGTTAACAGAGACTCAGTCTTTAAACCCACCCACTACTTATAAAGCTATTTACTCTTTCCCAAGTTTCAGATGAAAAGAATTTAGGAGAGACATTACAGATCGTCTACTTGTTTGATTTTTTTCTGTTCAATGTGGAGATTTAAAAATGAGGGCAGATCAGTCACCTTTAATCCCAGCACTCAGGGAAGAGAATATCTGATTTAAAGGCCAGCCCGGTTTCAAACAAAATAAAATGCAGAGTGTCAGCTAGCACCAAATTCTTGCTGTATTTGAGAAAAGTATCTGTTTTGGTAGCTAATTACATACTAAATAATACATTAAGCCATCTAAAACTATCATAATGAATACAGAATGACTTAACCTGATTCAGATTTCTGTGAAATTCATAATTCAGATGTTCTATATAAGAAGGTGAGAGTTGGGGGGGGGGGTTCATGACTTAATTAAGGAAGAATAAGACAGAAGGAAAAGAAAAGGGCTGGGAAGGAAAAGTTAGGGAAGGGTGAACCCCAAGCAGGAAGCTACACTCAGGATCAAGTAGAAGCAGGAGAGGCAAGTGAGGGTCTGCACTGGAACAGATTGTTTGTCTGAGGCGGTGATTTTGAAATTATATTATGAAGAGTCCCCTCAGGGGCTGGTCAGCACGGGACTCGGGCAGCCAGCTAGTGACATCCTTGAGCACAGTGGTGGAACAGGTCCATTAGAAACTAACCTGCCATCAAACAGGAGCATGTTAGGACTAGCCAGAATGTCAGCTGGATGGCATGACATTCTTACTGGCTGTGAGATTTTTGTTGTTCTCTCTCTCTCTCTCTCTCTCTCTCTCTCTCTCTCTCTCTGTGTGTGTGTGTGTGTGTGTGTGTGTGTGTGTGTGTGTGTGTGTGTGTCACAGTGGAGTGTGGAGGTGAGAGGACAACTTGTTGGAGTCTTTTCTCTCTTTCTACCATTTAGGTTCTGGGATTGAATTGGGGTCATCAGGCTTGTTGACTAGTGCCCTTGCCTATTAAGCTGTCTTTCTGGCTCTAAATACGGGATTGAAAGTAAAACAGGAAAACAGGTGCATCCACTCTCACCAAGGAAGAGCCAACAGGTCTGGGAATAGATTGTACCTTCTAAGGCAGGAGGTGACAGACCCATAGAGAGACAAACCAAGACTACCACACAGAGCTCCAGGCCAGTGATACTGGATTATGAGCAATGTGAAAGAAAATGTCTTGATGGTATGGAAGATCTAAAGAGAAATACAAAATGAGTTAAATGTGTGTATGTGACTACGTGAAATACATCTGTGACTGGTAATTTACAGGTTGATGCCTTGTGTGCACAGTGAGGAGCAGCACGTGGCCACCCTAGGAGTGGAGTTCTGTTTTACATTTGTGTAGTTGCTTTATTCAGCTTCATAGGAGATTTGTTGTTAGCCTAAAAGTCCTAGGCCTTGTGGCACAGCTAAAACTCCTAGAACCAGAGAGTCAGTATGTCTGGTAGGTGACAGTTATAGAGTTCTGTTGCTAGGTGAGGCAGAGATCCTCAGGGGTGTGGCTTCCAGCTTCTGAGGATAAAATCCCCAGCAGGAGAGAACTTGCCATTTCTCTCTTGACCTGGAGATGAAAAGCCACAAACCAAGACATAAGGAAACCACCAGGAAAGAACCAGCTCAAAATAAATACATATAAAAGCTGTGAGCTCGCTAAAAATAGAAATGTAAATATTTACTCAGTGAAAAAGAGATTCATCAACCAGGTCTATAGCTCAATGACAGCGCACTTGCAAAGTGCCTCAGGTTCAATCCACAGTTATCACAAGAGAAAAAAGAAAGGCAGGCTGGAGAGACAGCTCAGTAGTGGAGCCATCTCTGCTTTTGCAGAGGACCCAAATTCCCAGTACCCATGGAAGGTGGCTCACAACTTAACTCCAGCCCCAGAGGACCCGATGCCTTGTGCCGTTTTTCTGACTTGAGTGGGTACCTCCACTTATACAGACACACACACACACACACACACACAGACACAGACAGACACACACACACACTTACTTAAATATAAAATAAGTCTTTAAAAAGAAAACAAAAGTGTGTGTGTGTCTCTCTCTCTCCTCCCCCCACCCCCCCACCCCCCAGACATAATAGTTCTGTGTAATACCAGCCCTTGGGAGTTAGGGGCAGAGGCTCAAGACTGCAAGCTCAAGGCCAGCCTGGGCCACATAGTAAGACCTCTATCTGTTTGTTGTTAAAGACAGGGTTTCTCTGTGTTAGCCTGGCTGAAACTCCCTCTATAGACCAGGCTGGCCTCGAACTAAGAGCTCCGCCTGCCTGTGCTCCTGAGTGCTGGGATTAAAAGCATGCACTATAGCCACCACCCAGCCAAGACCTCCATCTCAAGAAACAAAACAAAGCAAAGTTTTACAGTGGACAGAATCTAACAGAACAGCATACTCATCAAGGTTAACACACACACTGATGGTTTCTGTTGATATTATGTGCCTTTGATGTAATATGGTAACACTGGTACCTGGCCTCTGTGGTCTCCTCCACAAAACCCGTATTTCTGGCTAATCATGGAAAGAACATCAAATTTGAATAGAGAAATATCCTAGGTACACTTGACCAATACTCAAAATTGTCATAGTGACCTTAGCATTGAGGAAAGTGTGAAATGTACAGGCCAGAAAGCTGTGAAGACATATGAGTACATTATGCTGTACTGGATGTGGGTCTGGAGCAGAGGACACATGCTAGGTGAAGACAAAGGAAGCCTGGCCAAGACGAGGACAGTGTATGTTCCCAGCGTAAGATAACAATGGGGAACTGCATGGAATATATAGTAACCATTTGTATACTCTCTTTTAAAAGTTTGGTAGTTTTTTTTTTTTTTTTTTTTTGGTTGGTTGGTTGGTTGTTGGGTTTTTTGCTTGTTCATTTGTTTCAAAAGGCCAAGTTTTCATTGCTATGAAGCTGTTATCTAGAGTATTAATACAGCCTTTATTTTTAAGGATATGTTTTTTAGACTTGGTTTCTGTGTGACTTTGTAAACGTATGAATTCACCATCATCACATGTTTCCTGACTTAAGTCTAGAGCTGTTAGAAGCGTTCCCTGTGTTGAATTAATCTTTTTCCCCCCCCCCCCTTCCAGGCTGGTGTTTGGAATGCTGTATCCTGCATACTATTCATACAAAGCTGTGAAGACGAAAAATGTCAAAGAATATGTAAGTAAAGTTTCAATGATTCTCATTTGCTATGTCAACAGTATACAAACCTTGGGTAACTGCTAGTGTTTTTATTGAGTTACACTGCTGTTTGGGGTCAAAAGGTGATACGAGTATTGTCATGAAAATAATCATGTTTAACCCCAATTTTGAAAACACCTGACAATAGAGCTTCAAATAGTCTTCCCTGACCACTGGGACTCGAAGGAGTGCAGTTCCCAAAAGGAGTGATGGGTTGCTCCTGGAGGTCTGAGTCACAGTGGACTGAGGTCTGGGTGCCTGCTTTTTTGTTTGTCCAGCTTTTGAGGACAGGTTCTAGTTTTCTAGTCTTGTGACTTTACAGAATGCACAAACCTCTTCTTTCTGGGTCTCTTGTCACTTTTGATTGAACACATGCCTGCCCTGTCCCTATTAACAGCAGGCTTGAAGCAAACTATAATGTTTTGGATTTTGTTGTTCTTTTTTAGAGAGAGAGAGAGTGTGTGTGTGTGTGTGTTCACATGCATGGGGTACACCTTAGTGCACATACGTATGGAGGACAGGTGTAGATGTATGATGCATTCATTCCCTTTTTATTCTTAGGGACAAGGTCTCTCTGGGAACTTGTAGCTACTGTTAGGCTAGAGAGCCAAAGAGCCCAGGAATTCCATCCCAGTCTCCTGATACAAAGGTTACAAGCATGTGCCACAATGCCCAGCTTTTTATGTTGTTTGCTGGCTCTGAACTCAGGCCCTCACACTTGCCATCCAGCACTTCCTCATGAGTCCTGGCGTAGCTTTCTATTCTATTGGAGTACATTTCCAGAGGTGACAAATGTGTGCCTTGGACAGGTAATCAAAAGAAATAAGCAGACAGTAGTGAGATAACTCCCACCAATGACTGGGTTTGCTTTTTTTGTTGTTGTTGTTTTGTTTTGTTTTTTTCTTGAGTGACACTCAGGAGCCAGAATATGCATTTCAAAATGAGCAATCCCATGACATTTAGTACTTCCATAAAGCTGTGCAGACAACAAATACCATCTCCTTCAAGCTCTCTCAATCTGAAATGAAACCCAGGCTCCTTAGGTTGTACTCCAACCCCACCCTTTCCCCCCTGTTTCCATAAATGGAATCCTGTAAGAAGTGACCTTTGGGAAAAAAAGACGTGACCTTTTGTGTTTGGCTTCTTTCACCTGCCATAATGTGTTTTAGGTTCATCCATGTTTTCACATGTTTCAGTGTTTCGTTCCTTTTGATGGCTGGCACAGTGCTCCATTGTATTGGTAAACCATACAATGGGTTGTTTGTCTGCTCATCCGCTAACAGACATCTGAATTGTTCTGCTTCTGTTTTTTGGCTGTTATGAATAATGCTAGCACAAACACGCCTGGATGAGCATCTGTTTAAGTGCCTGTCTAGGGCTCTTGGAGGTGTATAACCTTGCTTCTTTCTAAGGGACCTTGGTTTGCAGGCTCGACATCCAGCTCTTCAAGCTATTACAAAGATCAGAAATCCTGCCTTGATTCTTGAGAGTCTGTCTTCATATATTTGAGGTTGTATAGAGCCACTAGCTGAAACTTTGGCAATTAGCCTATTGAACTTTTATAGTCATTTTTCTCTTTCGTATAAAGCCAGCTCTTATAACGAAGTGTTTGTGTGCATAGACCCACACACCCCAGTTATAATGGTGAAATACATTTGTGAGAGGTAAAGAAGTGACTTGGGTGCTCTCTGGAGTTCTTAAATCCTTTTGTGATACAGATCTCTTGGATCTAGGATTGGGAAAGTAGTCTTAATACATGAAAGCATATTAAGTCATACTAATTGAACTTCATTTTATACATGGCTTGAAGGGACTTATTCCAGTATATACTGTAATAAACATTTCAAATGTCATGTTATAGTGCTGGCTATGTTAGTTTTAAAAACAACACTTGATTTTCATTTACAGCCTTTCTCAAGCTGCCTGTGGTGAAGAACCTGCGTGGTTATGTTGGTTTTGTGTTTTGTGGTGCTGGGGATGAGGCGATTTTGTTTCGTTTCTCCTAGGAGTCATTTGCCATCACTTTTGTAAAAATAAAATGTAAATGAAGCATTAATAAAACAAAGGTACAGAGCCCTCAGGAACATAGGAAATACACCACCGGTGTTATTATTTGTTTCCATAGACATGAAATACTATCAACAGTGCTATTTGTGAAATACTGTCAACTTAGTGCTTTTGCCAACTGTAACAAACCACAGCCTTGCACAGTTCCCTAGACAACACTGCTCTCTCTACTGTGAGATTCTTTACTTGGAATTCTCTTTCCAATGGTAAAAAAAAATATGAATGACCCATAATATCTAAAATGCCATGAAAATATGAGCTGTGGAGTATACTGCTGGCCAGAATTTAATAAATTTGCAGTGTTAATTCAGTGGGATCTTTTTCTTACTTTACTAACTGTGGAGTTGAAGAACTGAGTGGTGTGTCTTTTAGCTGGGGACATGTGTCACCTCTAAAGCATTCCAGGGCCAAGAGTAGAAGTACATGGCTGCAGTCCTAGCCCGTGGGAGAATGAGGCAGAAGGATCACTGAGGACTTGAGGTTACCCTGGACCACAGAATGAAGAGACTCTCTCCCAAATAGAAAATAGATAGGTAGACAGATAGATAGATGCCCTGTCCCAGATAGATAGATTGACAAGTAGACAGGCAGTTAGGTAGATAAACAGACAGAAAACAGCCTGCACCTGATATACATACATACATATGCAGAAACATGGTTATTTAGAGGTAGGTCTAATTATTAAAAAAGATGTCTGCTTTGATTATGCATCAGTTTTGCTTTTGTTTTTTGTTTGTTTGTTTGTTTTTCTTCTTCTTTTTTTCTTTTTGAGTCATAGTCTTAAGTAGCCTAGGCTGGCCACCAGCTCACTATGTAGCTAGCTGAGGCTGGCCTTGACCCTGAACTTCCTGACTCTACATCCCAAACACTGAGACCAAAGGCATGTGCTGCCACACCCAGCAACACTTAAAGATATAAGTTTATGTGTTTTATTCCCTTACACTCAGATTTTTATTACTGAATTATTTGAAAATGTAAGACAATCAATGATAACATGCTTCTGAGATTTTTAATTCCCCCTTGTGTGCTAAAAATAACTTAACCTGAATAAGAGAATCCATTAGCATTCTTATTCAAACTAAAACATATACAATATAGTATGTTTAAATATGTCCTTAGTGTTGCTTTGTTTAGGTGGTTTTTAGTAGGTCAGTAGCCTTCTTTTGCAATTTTGGGAATTCGAACTTCACCTCTAACCCTTACACAGTTGTTTCTAAGGGGTAATTCGTTACTAACAATTCTTCATTATGTGCTTGTAATTTTTGTTTGTTTTGTTTTTTGAGATAGGGTTTCTTTGTATAGTTCTGGCTGTACTGGAACTTGCTTGGTAGACCAGGCTAGCATCAAACTCAGAGAACTACCCCACTGAGTGCTGGGATTAAAAGCATGTATCACCACTGTCAAGCTATTTTCTTATAGTTTTGCTTTGATATTATAACAACAATAATAACAAACAGTCTTTCTAACTATCTTTTTGGAAGTCCACAATAATGAATAATTGAAGGGAATATAGGGAAATAGAGACAGGTTGGGTCTGGCTTGATCATTGCTTTGTAATTAACTCTGCTTTGAAAATACAGTGAGTGCTAAAACCAAAATCGAACAAGCAATAACCAGGAGGCACTATAAGAAGACTGAAGACCTCCCTGTCACCCACTTACCTAACAGCAAGACTTTGAGGAACCAAGTTTGAGGTGATGTGTATGTTCTTGGGACAATGCATGTGTAGCTAATTACTTCCCACAAATTTCAGAGTACTTTTGCTCATTACCATGCCTCATTGCTGCTCTTCCCAGTTACCACACTATTCCAGATGTAAAACTACAAACTATTTATTCTCAAACACCCCTGGAGTCCAGAAGCATAGAATGTGTCCACCTGGCCACGTTCCGTCTGGAGACTAATCTAATGGAAGAGCTACATCATTCAGAGTTGGAAGCTGCCCACATTCCTTGGCTTTGGGCTCAATCCCTGTGTCTTTCAAGCCAGCAGCTTAGGGCTGAGATCTTTGGATGCAGCCAGCACTGGGCTTTTGGCCATCTGCCTCCATCTTCCTATTGTAAAGTCCTTTATGAATGACTGGACCCACCCTTCAAGGTTGTCTGATACTTGGCCTTAATTCCAACTGCCTCATTGTTTTCTCTTTATCATATAACCTAACATACTTACTTTCTCAGAATTAAAGCATGGACCCATTCCTGGGAGAAGCAGCCAACCCCACTCATCCTTACTGTCAGCTCACCCGTGAGGGCCCTTGTAAGGCAGCATTGGTACTGCACCAAAACACTTAGGTTGCTAATGTTCTGTTCATTGTGTTCCACAATGTTCCCTTTATTTTGTTGGTGTTATTGTTGTTGTTTTTGAGATGGTCTTTCTGTGTAGCTCTGGCTTCCTGGAACTTTCTGTGTATACCCAGTTGGCCTCAAACTCATAGAGATCCACCCACCTCTGCCTCCCAAGTGCTGGGATTAAAGGCATGTACACCATACCTAGCCACTACAGTCCTCCTGTTAAAAACATAGGCTCTGGAGCTGGAGAGATGGCCCAGTAGTTTAGAGCCATTGCTCTTGAGGAGGATCTCAGTTCTGTTCCCAACAGCCTGGCAACAGAACTTGCTTTGTAAACCAGGCTGGCTGATACAGTCTCAACACCTCTTTATGTGGCCTGGTACTATATCCCTTAATGTCTGTCTCCAACTGGAATAAGCACCATAGGGAAAGGTTCATTTACTTTAATTGTGCTATTCTGTACCTAGAACAGTAGCAGGTATACAGTAATTAGTCAGAACTTTTGAATAAATGAACTTGTGTGACAGAAAAGCTGGTTTCTCAGTGCCTGCAAAATGCTAAATTGTGCTTGAAGAGCTTGTGTGTTCCTAGGTGGATGGATCAGGTTCCTCAGCTTGAATTCTG